AATAGCATACCCTTCTCTTCCAATGCGAGGTCCCTATATTAGAAGGCTTTCCATAATAGAAGACCTCCTTGGAGAAATACGTGCGACACTTAGTATAAGATCTTATTCAATTATCGAATTTTTCGAAAAATGACAACTTCAACCACTGGATTTACATCATAATACGCTTAGTTTTCACAGTTTTCAGCTGAAAAATCTAACTAAGTGTCTTCAACATTTTATCTAGACNCTGCTAGGGCTATTTCAAATTCCCCTATACGAGAAATTAAAATTTTAATTTGCTGCAGGGGAAACTAAAATCTTAAACCTTTCTTATGAGATGGAGAGAAAAAATCCAAGATTTTAATTTCCCCTGTAACATATATTAATAGTATTTGATTGCAATTTTTTTGAAAAATGTTCGAAATCAATTGTTATTCATTTCCATAATGATTTTTCAGAATAACTCAGGTTAAATAAAGAACTGGAACATTGAAAATATCCCAAGAGGGAAGGGCGGACTTTTGTACTTGAAGTAACTTCGACTACTTTAAAGTACTTTAAGCTACTTTAAGCTACTTTGAAGTACTTCAAGCTACTTTACGCTACTTTACGCTACTTTAAACTACTTTAGACTACTTTTGTACTTTGATGTACTTCTGGACTTGAAGTACGCCGTTTTCGCCTTGAGTGATAGTCATATATATAAGTTGAAGTCTGTTCAGCTTTGAATAGTCAGTCTGCTTATGAATAGATACAGTTGGGTTGTGAATAGTCCGTCAGGCATATTTCATGTGCAGCTAATTGCAATATAAAGAATTTCAGGTATTCTAAACGGTTTTCATCCAAAATTTCCCGTTATTCTAACACATCAAGCATATGCTACTAGCTCTAACAGACTACCCACCCCAGATCATGTACGTGCAAAGAGACTATGCTAGTGGAACCAATAACTTTTGAAGCGCTATCCTAGTGGAATATTTACAAGTCTTCAAGGACTTTTCTAGTGCAGTACTAATAACTCTTCAAGGGCTATCGGGAGAGAGTACTCATTACTCTTGAAAGAGTATCTAAGGAGTATTCATAAATTTGCAAAGACTTTCCTGTGCCGATACCCATAATTCTTCAAGGGCTCTCTCGGGGAGCGGGGGGCGGGGACAGGCACTCATAAATCTTCAGCTGTTTTCGTAGGGCGGTGCCCGTAGCTCTTATAATGCTATCCTAGAGGAGTGCCGGTATTTCCTCAAGGGTTATTCAAGGATAGCCGTGAGTGTGTAACGACTATCATACATGCTATCCATTGCTGTTCTTTGTCTTTCTGTGGTAGTATGTATGCCTCTTCCTGCCATTAATAGTTGTGATCGCTTGAAGTGTTGAAAGCCTGCGTAGGATTGATACTGTCAACTCTTGAAAGACTGTATTGTAGTGGTGCTTATAACTGCTGATGGTGTTTATGGCGTTTGTTCAGTTTAGTCTGTAATGTATTTGGTTGATGGGCATTTAGGATTTCATATGTTACGCGATATTGTCGCCATAGTTTTGCATTTTGTTGAAAGGAATGTTGTATTCATTTCTTTAGTTAGCTTGATGGGTTGAGTCGATTACTCTCTAAAATATGGCTTCTCGGATAATTGTTGTCTGTTGCGGCTTTCATAGACGTCGTAATTGGTACTCTCGTTGGTTCCTGATGATCCGTTCTCTAATCGACAACTTGTGGGTATTGTTGCGCTTCTAGGGAAATATTTGTGGAAGTTACCTTTTCCCAATGATGCGTGGATTAGAAGGTGCAGCTTGGAGAAGATATAGCGTATACAACTGAATTGAAGGCCTTTTCCGTTCAGCAATTAGTGAGAATATGTTTGTGTCTCCTTGCAAAAATTTTGTGCTGGAAGACCCATCGCGTTCGAGGTCAGATGCTTTTTATGTCGATAGATATTTTTTATGGAATGAGAATTTTTGTGGTTTCATTTATTGAAAGATACTTTATTTGTTTTGGAATACAATGGCTGGTGTTTTCGTTGAACTGACTCAATGTTAATGTATTTATTGGCGGGTACCATGTCCATAATTTGAATGAAGTATGAAAGGGAGCTTTCTACGTGTTTGAGATGGTTCGCTTCTATTGGATATCATAAGTCTTTTGTCTTTGTTGATAAGAGTTTGAATCTGACAAAGTACAAAGTAGTCCCGGCCCCCGTTCCATAAAACTGGAATTGGAATCGACATTTTTATTTTTAGCAGTACCGGAACCAGGACAAAGAAATTTTCAAGCTGGTCGCGGCCAGTTTTTGTATCAAGAACTACACTATACATTTTCATGTTTATTATTCTTTTGCAACTAGGAATCTCGAAATCAGACATTTTTATTTACGATTCTGATAAAAGTCTTTTATTGATCTTGATCCTAATTTGAAAAATTGACACTTTCGATCATTCGTATAGATTTTTATATACGCGTATTGCTACAGTACACATACATTTAGTTCAATTAGCATTTACCCATCCTTTTGCTTGTAATTTTTTTTATCATTGCATTCTTATTTCTAGTATGAGCTCTTAATTGTTATTATTGTAGTTCTCTATATTGCAAAACCCAAGTTAATGGCTACTAGGGAGTACGAGCATAAAGCTAAAATTTTAGCCATAATCTTACCAGAAATTGTTTGTTTCTTGAAAAAAAATCAGGATCAGAAGCGAAACAAAATTTTAAACAGATGTGCAGCAGAAACTAATAAAGGATATTGCACATAACCGGGATCGGCATCGAAAAATAATTTCAATCGGAACCAAAATTGACCCGAGAACAAAAAAAAGATGTTCTTGCACTTCTCATTTTGAGTAGCTCCGGCATATATTGGTTCAGAATCTCGACGGTTCATTATGTGCACTGTCAAGAATAGCTCTTGATGACTTATGGATACCCCTTAGATTGGAAAGAAAAGGTTACAGATCTCCTATGAATGATCGAGACGATCAGAAGTACTGTAGGAAAAGTTCTTTCCAGCTGAACTGTTCGAATAGATCAGATCAGATCATTGTTTTGAACAGTTGAACAGAGTGCGACTTTTATCGGACTGTCCAACTTCTATATGTAGCTTCTGGAGCCTTACCCGAAATGCCAATAGCATTATTTGAATAGCAATGGGCATCATCAGAAACGCTATTTCATTTGCCTGGGCTGCTACAGGAATTTCGTTTAAACAGAATGTGAAAACCTAAAGAAGTACATGTATTCGAATTGAAATTAATACAATGTTAGGTTTAACATGGTCTATTGACTAAGTTTTTGGTGATTGGGGTAATGCGTTTTTGTTAATGGATAATGTCGATAGACATCCAATAGCATTAGAACTGCTCGATGCTAATGCTTATTCTGATTGGAAAACGCTGAACGTAAACGATCGTTCACGGTAAAGCACGACAGAAAACGGTGAACGTTCATTGAACCGTTTACGGATGACGTATACGGTGAATTACGACTCTGTCCGATAGTCGTTTACGGTGGATGTAATACACAGTAATGCACTATTTACGGTCGGGCATCATTGACCTGGGAAGATGCAAAGTTAATACCTGTTTTAAAAAAAGTTGTTAGTTAGATTAGTTTACCTGAAATTATCATTAAGATGAAGAAATCACAAGGTAAGTATAGGTGTGTGTGTGCACGTGCGTAGACTTTGCCCACATCCACACTCAGGCTGTGCAACCTTTTTCATTCTTATTCAATTCATTCTATTTAACAGTAAATCTTGTATAGAAACAACTTGAAAAGCCATCGAAGTATGTTTGGATTACAGCAGCGTCTTAGTTCATGTAGCATGGGTTTTAGAAAACCAACAATGGGGGCGGGGACATCAGTATAACCAGGATTTTTAGACCCATAGGTAAACTTCTCTGATGTTGGAAAAAAATGGTGGACAGAATGGGCAAGGTTTTTATTGATAGGTTAAGAACTTTTTGGCCCAGCAAAGCACTAATAACGTAAAAAGGCCACAAAAAATGAAATGATATTCTTTTAATCAAATATGTATCAAACTCAGGTCTTAAGCCTCAGTCAAGTGCGTAAATATAGTCGATGATGATGCATTGATGTATATAATTTCAATATTCCATTTGGATTTATGTCGAGATCTTTATGAATATATGCAGCAGCAAGTCTGTTTAGTCTATTTTATTTCATTGTAGACCGACAATAACTTTTAATTCTCAATAATTGACTGAAACATCTTTCAGCAGAAGCTGTTAATACAGGCAATATTGCCAAGAAAATTAATACATGACGTCCATTTGGCCTTTACGTGGTTAGTGTTGTCCCAATAAAACCGAACTCACGTTTACCCAAACTTACAGTTAAAATGAAAGAAGCGATTCTTTTCTTAATTCTTCACAGAAAGAACAAGCAAATAGTGAATGTGTGATTCAGACAGAAAAAAAATACAGTTACTATCTAATTCAAAAATAAATAAGCAATTCTGAAAAAGTAAAATTACAATGCGCAAATCTCCAAATGAAATGGGCAATTGCCCATTTGCCTCCCATCTGATTGCACCGCTGGACGTGAATATTTCGTAAAAGACATTGTAGAATGTATTCGATTCGACATCAATTTATATAAATGACTAACTTATTAGATGATGTGGGAAATTTTGAAGATATTGTGAAATCTTTTTCGATTTATAAATAAGCATAAAATTGCATTAGTTTGATGATGAAATCTACAAGGTGGGGCATATATAGATACTATCAATATATCACATCAAAAACGACAAACACTTTGGATGTTTCAAATTAATAATTCCCCACCGAATACTATGTCATTATTTGTAAACGTCACGATATTGAGTCACATTAGATATTGTTACAATGATTAGATTGTATGACTCATCAACGTATGGATGAATGACTTTTTGTAAAAACAATAAATAGATTATTTTTAGTTAGTATAGGTCCATGTACATATATATATATATACATGGCAAGCATGTATGAACAAAAACATTTAAGTAAAATAACACAAGATTATGGTTAATATACTTCGTTTGCCAGAAACACGATCTGATGAAGGGCAAGATAATTTTTTTCATTGGTCTATGGTTATTTTACCTATATTGGCTGAAGCTGCTTATGTATTTGATGCATCTTATTACTTAACACATCATTCAAATAATAATGGTTATGAAGGTTTATGTTCAACAATTTTAATTGTTTTTGCATATCTTCGTTATTGTTCACCGATTGAAAACCGTGTATCACTTTTTATATATTATATCTTATTATGCTTATTAAGTGAAACTGGTACAATTGTTTATTTGATAACATTTATCATAAAAAAAGATTTATTTTCTACAATAGATTATATTTTATGGAGTTTACTTGAACTAATATTCACAATAATGTTAATTTATTGTCGAATTATAAAGAAATATCAAATAAATTTTATTGTCGAAAATAAGCATTTATTTCACTTTATGTCTCGATTAGAAATTATTTTAGCTGTGTTTTTACCATTTTTTGTAAGTAAAAATTTTACATCATTAACGCAAAATTCGATTGCTTTTTTCTTATTATTTGATTTTTTTTCTGATTCATATGTTCGTTTTCGAGGGGTGTGGATAAAATTCGCATTATATTTATTTGTTACAACTGTTACATTAACCGTTGCTACTGAGTGGCTTTATTTTGCTACAAAAATACATTTTTATGAACAAATATCAGCTATTAGCGAATTAGTTTCAGCTTATTTATGTGTTTTATTAATTATTTTGCAATTTTTTCCACATCATTTTACACCAACTAATATAATAAAAATATCACGAGAAGGCTTTACATTTCAACAGAATTTTAATATGGATACAATAATCAAAGATGAATATCAAAATACAACTCGAGAGAAATTAGACAAAATTGTTACAACTATTGATTCATATTGTTAATTGCATGATAATTATCTGTATGTTGGCTTTTCTTTTGTCACAAGGATTACTCTATTTAAACTATCATATAAACCAATATTTATAGTTTATGTGAAAAAATTTTTATAAGAACAAAACAATGTTTTTTGTGCATCGATATTTTGAAATAAAAAAAAAATTCTTTTGAATTCTTTAACAAAAACGATACAAATAAAGTGAATAGTTTTTAAATATTTCGATTGTTTATGAGGACTACGTATGAAACATAACTACCCAATTAATTGACATATCTTGTTTTTTCTATATTGTCACAGTTCGGTGTTCATCATATCAAATGTATCATAAGTTGAGATATGAGAGATCTAGCTTTTTTAGTTCCAATCTCCGAAGTTTTATTTTTTGGTTCCGCATATGCCTATGTAGACATGAATATATTCATTTTATGTTGAATCTATTTAAGAGTGATATGATTATTAAGTATCGGTGGGGAGAAAAATTTTAAAATATGACACATAGATGTAGGATTCATTGTCACAGTGGTATTCATGAGCTTGAGATGCTTGAATGGAACCTATGTAGAATATTTCGGTATGCATTTAAATTAGAAAAAGGGTTTTGTCGTGATAGAAATTCAGTGCTTCCGAAAAATGTACCTGTTAATCAATATGTTTAAAAACTGTCAAATGAATATCATTAAAGCAGTTGCAAAACATGTTAGTGATTACAAGTTCATAGTAATGACCTCAATGGAAGTAAATATGGAGAGAAAAACTTACATATTGCTTCATGATATCGACAAAAATGCGAATTTTTCACATGACAGACAGAAGTGGTATGCATTTAAAATGTAATTACGATTTTGTTTTGACATCTTGCATATTGATAAAAGCATAGAATAGGTTTGCAGATAAAACATAATATGAGAATGATAGTTTTTCTATTGAGATTATCAAAAGCTTAACATATAATTTTGACAGATAATGTTCGTAGGTAGAAATTTTACGTTTATTTGTTTTATTAGTTATGTATTAAGTTCCAAATGAATGATGTACAGCCGATTAGGCGTAGAAGAAGACGGCTGTCTGACACGATTATCATAACACTGCTTCCAAGTTCCGGTTATTTTCTGGAGTTTTCCAGCCAGAATTACTGGCCTGAAATGTTTCATTTTTTTTCTAAAATGAAGAAAAAATAGCGTACCGACCATGAAATATCCTACATAATTACGGAAAAAGTTTATGAATTCGGTCCATTAAAAACTCAAAGAATAGACTTGTTCATATTTTCAACAATTAAATTCTGCGTATATTTTTATCACAATTCTCGATATGAAATACCAAAGATATTTCTTTACGATATATTTTATACTCTTGAATAAGCTATTCAGAATGTTATGAGTATACATATATGTAATGAAAATGTTAACTAAAACAGATGTCACTAATAAGATACCATATGTTGTCAAAGTAACAACAACGACCATGGTAGTATATGAAATATTTTTATTTCTTTAATATTCTTCTACTAAAATGAGTAAATCAAATCGAGATGAAACAGATTCTGAAATAAATCGAAAACCAGTTGTATTCAATGATGAAACATTACCAGTGATTTCTTGTAAAGAAATCATTCAAAAAGATCCTGTGTTCGTATATCCTTTCAATAAATATTTTTCTAAATCAATTCAATATTCATTTTAACTCATTATAGTCATTCAGTAAATGCAAGCGTACAAACTAAATTTGAAGTACAACTTGCTGATGCTACATGTCAAAGTATAAAACGCAAAGAACGTGAAGTAAGAAACATTCGTTCCGTCTTCTTTTTTGGATTCAATATATATATATGTATATGCTTTTATTTCAATTAGATTCAAGTAGATTTTGGTGAAAAGCCTGTTAATGATGATATAGAAATTGATATGCATCGTTTTAATAAGTTTCTTGGACGTATTGAACCAATTGTTTTACATTATCTTGATGAAAATTTAGAACGTCCAAATATTCTTCGTAAGTCGAATAATGTTTTTAAAGATACAATCTTTATATTAATATAATAATTTAGGTCACATTAAAATGAGACATACAGGTGATGATACAGCACAAGAATTATTTACATTAACTTATCCAGAAATTTTAATTGATAAAGAAATACAAGTTACAACTTTATCATGGTCATCTAATGGTTCATCAATTGTTGTTGGTTATGGAAGTACATCACATGAAGGTTTATGTATGCATAAAGGGGCTGTATGTTCATGGAATATTGAACGATATAAAATCAATCCAAATAAACCTGATATGAATGTTGAAACAAGTACATGCGTTACAACAATTGCTTGTCACCCGGAAAGACCAGGCATTGTAGCAGCTGGCCTTTATAATGGTTTGCATATTGTATCCTTTTTGTTTTTTTATATTTATTCATTTAAGGTGAAATACTTGTTTGGGATTTTCGTGAACAAGATTCCTTAATAGCTCGCATTTTGGAACGACAAGATTTACATCGAGATTCAGTAACATCACTGCAATGGATTCGTGAACCAAAATTATCAAAGAAAAAATTTATTGTAAAGTTTTAATTTCTTTTTATTGATATATACATCTAACATTAATAATTGAATAGCTTATATCAACAAGTCAAGATGGAAAAATTCTTCTATGGAATCCATTACCTAGTAAAAATAATTTAAAACTCACTGATGCTTATTTTGTTGCAACTAAAGCGGGTAGTAGTAAATCATCAGGAAAACCAATGGGAGGTATGAAAAGTTTTAATAATAGTCGCTTATAAAGTTTGTTTAAAATTATTTAGTTACAAGTGTTACATTTAATAATGAAGATTCTGAAACATTTATTTTCGGTTGTGATTCAGGACTCTTATATAAAGGTTCACTTAATTCTGTATCATCCGTTCAATCACGTAAATTTATAAAATTTGATTAAATAGTTTCATATAAATATAGATTTTATATGATAGGCGAAGAAGGTCTTGCTGATATGACTGTTCAACCTAAAAATCCAATTACAATGGCATATCAATCACATGATAGTCCTATTTATTCTGTTAGTTTTTCTCCTTTTAATCGACATCTATTTCTTACAAGTGCACATGATGGGCAAGTTCGACTTTATTCACAACTTTTTGTAAGAGAATTTTATTGAAAATTATTTCCTCAGGAATTCAATGGAATTATCCATTTAGCCTAATTTTGGACGTTGTTTTGCACCAGCACAAGGCGCAATATTTACTTGTCGTTGGTCACCATCACGTCCTCTTGTTTTAGCAACTGGAAGTGAACATGGTGGAACATTAATTTATGATCTTGAACCACAAGAAGGTACACCAGACGGTCTTTTACCTTCCATACCTGTTCAAGAGTTACCATCATCAGATAAACGATCATCGATTATTTCTTTAGAGTTTAATCATAAAACGTAAGAAATTATGTTTTAAAGATCAAAAGTAAAAATTTCTTCGTTTTTTCTTTCTAGTCCAAATATTTTAGCATGTGGTGATAGTGCAGGTGCAGTAATGATTTGGAAATTAGCAGAACGATTTACAACAGCACAAAATGATGAAATAGAGAATTTACAAATATTAGCTAAAAGTTTTGGTGATAGTTGAAATTAGCTTTTATTGTACTTTTTTGGTTTTTGCATCGTCACGGCTAGTCCATGTGTACGTATTTTTTTGTGTAAAATAAAACAAAACAAAAATAGAATTAAAAATTCAATGGTGAAAAATTGTTTCTTAATTATTTTAATCTTGTGATGGTCGATAATTACGAAATTTTCGTTGTTCTCTTTGACGAAAATAATTTTCAGCTTCTTGACGAAGACGTCGTTCTCGAAATAAACTTATGAAACGTTGTTCATCAACTTCGTCATGTTTGATTTGCTAAAAATAAATCATATCTTTATCTAATTAAATGCTATCTAGTAAACGTACATGTATAGCTAATGAATTAAATGTTCGTTTTTGTCCAGATTGTTTATCATGATAATGTCCACCATAGTTGACGAATGGTGGACGAATTTCGGATTCTTGTTCATCTTTTGTTAAATCACAAAGAGCATATGGTGTTTTAATGGCTAATAATATCCAAATCAATAATATCAATAGAAATAGAAAGATCTTTTATTACTTACCATATTTACTTTTTTTCTTCATAAAATTATTCCAATTTATACTACTTGATGTTCGTTGCGATGGAGCAGTTCTCGGTCGACTTGAATATTCTAAATCAACAGGTCTTAATGGTAAACGAGAACATCTTTTTTGATATTGAATATTTGTTGTAGGCGGTTGTTGTCGTCGTATAGCTTCTTTTAGACAAGTATCGCATGGAAATGAATGTAATAGTGAGCGTTCACTTCGCACACGAAATATATATGGTTCATCGTAAACAATACGGTGACACGAATGGCAACATCTTGTATGTCTTTTGCCTCCAGAAATGATACGTCGTGATGATATATTTGCCATATTTTCTTAAATAATAATCAGTAGTAAAATAAACATTAAAAACCTCAATAAGTAAACCGCAAAAACACGTAAATTCTTCATTTTGGATTATGTGTTGTTTTCATCGGCAACCGAGAGGAGGAAAACTATGTTGAATATTAAAAAAAATACAGATGTCAGACGCTGATTAGTCATAATTTAATATCCAATGTTGCTGTGGCAAATAGTATAGTATGAAGAGAACTTTTTTTTTTCCATTATGATTGTACACCAACATCAATTTTGCTAATGGCAATGAGTAGAGACGTAAGCTAATGCATTGATTGGCTTACACCTCAAGCGATGAGTTTTGCTTGAAAAATAAAAACAAAAATAGTTTTATTTTTATTTTTTCCAATGTTCAGTACCTTTTTGCTTTATGTTTATGAAAGTTATGAACATTCTTTCATGTATCAATGGCATATTTTTTTGTCGTTGTTGAACGTGTTAATGTTTATTATTTGAAAATAACTGGATTATTGACGGAATAATTGAACTTGGGAAAGTATTCAAATTGTAACTTAGAAACAGAAGAATTATTTGTGAGCGAAAGAATAAAATTTTGTGTTAAAAAAATTGATCTCTAATAGTTTTTTTCTTGTAACAACAGTAATGTTATTAATTAAATTTATATTTACGAAAAGAAGAGGTCATATTGCACTAATACAAATATTTACCAATATTAGTATCAACATATTCGTGACGATAAGTAAAAATTTACATTGGTAATCACATCATCACATCAGTGAGGTTATCCCATTTGGTAAAGGTATAATAATCTATTATACAATTATGATTGACACAGACAAATTTAGAAAATTTCCCAAGAAACACCAACGTATAATCAGTTATGAACAAAGATGTATGATGCAACAGACATAGCATTAGATAAGACAAATCCATATAAATCAAAATATTTAGTTAGATCTGATTGTAATAAACTGATTGTTTACAAAACTAACAGCATACATACTCATGATATAATCACTATTGATACTATGAATTAGCGTTGTCTTCGAACAATAATTATTGATCTAATATTGTTTTCATTAAATACTATATCCATACAAAATTTACAAGAAAAATAAAATATTGCTGCACTTCCTAATTATTAATGCAAAGATAAAAATACTTCAGTGATGTGTATTGATTTAGCAGCAATATTCTTTTCATCTATCATGTAAAGTTTTTCAGTCACTATTATAACTCTAGTTGACTCATTACCTGTTCATTTCAGAGACTATGAACTGTACGATGATTCACGAGAAAAAAATAACCGTAGAATAGAACGATTTCAATTTATTACAACAAAAGGTCGTAGATTAATCTGCATTACATATTCTTTTCATCTTCATACATTTATCTATCATTTACATATAAATGCCTATGAAATTAATATTCATCATGATGTATTTCATATCGGTTAATAAAATATAATTACACTATCATTAAGATATCTAATACATCTTTAAATTTTTCATATACAATTCGACGTACGTTATACCGTGTTCGAAGAAACCATCAAACCTTATTAAAAAATGATGAAGTACACGAAAGTAAAACGAAAAAGAAAACATCATATACTTAGAAAACAAATATTTTATGCAAGGTTTAAATGACGTTGATATTATATTAATCTACTGTTTTGATTGACGTGAATATAAAATACATCATTTTCTTTGAATGATTTCTTCACATAGTGAAGGATTAATATACGAAAACGAAAAGATAGGATTTATGTTTATTTTAAGACACAACGGATAGTTTATAAAAAAACGAACTAATGTTTACTTCGTGATAGAGCCTGTAAAATTTCGACAGGTATAGGAAAAACAATTGTTGAATTACGTTCGGCAGCAATTTGTGTTAAAGTTTGCAGAAGTCTTAATTGTAAAGCTACAGGTGATTCATTTATAATATCGGCTGCTTCTTTTAAACCTCGACTTGCTTTCATTTCACCTTCAGCTGCAATTATTTTTGCTCGTGCATCACGTGATGCTTCAGCTTCAGCTGCCATCGCTTTTTGTAAAGCTACGGGTAAACGAACATCTTTTACTTCAACACGTTCAACTTTAACTCCCCATGGATCAGTAGCTTCATCAAGGCTAGTCTATTTTGAAAACAAAAAAAAACGAATGAACGATATTTGTTAAGAATAATATCTACTTGAATAAGTGTGTCGATTTTATCACGTTCAGCAAGAATTTCATGAAGTGTTTTCGTACCCAAAACCTAAAATTAAATAGAAAATTTATTTCAAAAATTAAACTAATTCACTTACATTTCGAAGTGTTGTTGCTGCTAAAAGTTTTGTTGATTTAGCTGCATCTTCAACATTTGTTATTGATATAACAGCATTAAATATTCGAAAATATACAACAGCATCAACAGCTACTGTTACGCTATCTCGTGTTAAGATTTCTTGTGGTGGAACATCAAAAGTAACTGTTCGAAGGTCAACTTTACTGTACGTATCAATACATGGTAAGATAAAAAAGAGCCCAGGTCCTAAATACAATATCATATATAATCTTATGTCAAGAAAACTATTAAATCGATTTAGCAATCTTCTCTATAGATATTAGTTTCAAGCGATTAGACATCTGTTATTACATATAGATGTATGTTTTGATCTCAAACTAAAGAAGCCATCTGTTTATTCTTTTCTAATACTCATTATACAATGAATCTTTAAGATGATACATTGCTTGAAGAACAAAATATTAATATTAGAATCGTGGAAAAAAAAAACAAAGATATATGATAGTAATATCCTTGGTTTTCTATTTATTTTAAGCCTTGATTGAGATGTATGACAATTGATCTTTCTAGATGAATTTCTTGTTTCTGTTATTAATTATTATTTGTTCGAGTTAACATGACAATATAATTACATACATATATTTTCAATAAGCTACTTACCACGTGCTCCATTAGCTAAGATTCGACCTAGTCGAAAAATTACGGCTCGTTCATATTCTTGCACAACCTTTAATTTATTAAAAACAAAAAAATTCATCGTTCGTTGTTTTTTATTTGATTAATAAAAATAATTATACGTACTTTTAAACAAAAACATAATGATAATGGAAATGTAATAATGACGAGAAAATAACTCAGTAAAATAAGTACACCAAAAAAGTAACCTGATTGTTCACGTGAGTCTTTAAGGTCTAAAAGTGAGACGAATTTAACTTGTCGTTTCTAAATCATAGATTTACAATTCTTGTCTATAAACCTTTATATTTACAATAGAAAAAGAAGTGTGAACTATAAATAATTTTTCTCTATTTAAGCTAATAAAAAAAACAATTCAAGTAGAAAATTGATGATTATCCATTTATTATTAACTTATATCTAGACTTTTTATTCGGTTGAATGAATAAATCAGGAAAAAAGATACTTAAAAACATTTACCGTATCCACCTGAGTGGAGATGGGTGGCTTCTATAGAATATCGATCCATATTATGTCTTGATGATGGTATATGTTGTGTTCGAAGATTTGTTATATGTTGAATATCTTGTCGATTATGACGTGATGAATTACGATAATCATCACGTTCTTCGTTACGATGGCTCATCATTATGATGAATAGGTTTTTTCTTCTGTCTTTTAGTTTCTTACTGATCCATTTGTTCTTCGATCGTCATCAAATATAAGCGAAAAATGTCGTATACACGCTCGTCCGATGCCAATGATTTCCCGTTATAATTGGCGAAACGTGCACATTTCCTCTCTTGGGGAATGGGACAGACAAACAGATATACAATACACTCTTTTTCCATCTGTAAATCTCTCTTTGCGTGCTCAACTACATAAATATATATATAGAGAAAGTTTGCCAGGCATCGTTTCGACAAATGTCACTCTCGAATACATATAGCTTTTACTAGCGTGTTGTAATTACTATAGATTGTTTCTCCTTTATCATGTGTTAATTAAGGTAAAGAAGAAGCTATCAGCAGACATGAAAGGAAGAGATAGATGCAAAACGATTTTATATAAAGGATAAGTTTCTATGTCTTTTTTTGTTCTTTCTCTCCTTCTTTCTTTCTTTCTTTCTTTCTTTAGGCTATAATTAGCTTTCTATTATGACACATGCGATAGACCGTGAAATTAGCTAAAACTGTTTTTGTACATGATAAAAATGATCGTAAAATCGTCATTATATGTTGAGACAATATTTATATGTTATCAATAGAAGATTAATTGTATCACACCTTTCTCTCTACTACCTAAATTATTCCATAATTATCACGTTTTTCTTTTTCTGTTTGCTATTTCATTAAGAAAATTAATTCAACAACTTTTCGATGATTAATTTTTCATAGAAAATCAATTAAAAATTTAAAAAACGAAAAAGAAGACCAAAAGTGATCTTTTTTTTAAATTGACATACCATCTGTAGCTCGACGTACGAGTGTTTGGGGAGGAATCAAAAATGAATATCTTGAAAGACGTCGAGCAACATTTCCATCATTTCGTTGACTTGCTTGTATCATTGGTGTAAGATACTGATCCGCACTTAATGAACCAAATTGCGTTCGATAAATATCAACTTGATCTGATGCACGACGTACACCATATTGTGCCGAATATGTAAAACCAGTAGTAGATGCACTACCAGTCTCAGCATCTAACATTGATGTGTCAAGCATGCCATTCATAGGTAATAGACACAAACAAGAGAACTATAATCTGCTGTTGTTATTCTTTGTATAATTGTGAAAGTCACTCTATTATAGTTGTGCACAGTTATAAAACACGCACACTATTCCCTCGCTAGTCTGTTGTCGTCACCTGCTATCAAGGAAGTTTTTCATCAATTTTTAGCATATCTATGTAGATATATATATGTATTATTTCACGCCCAGTTTCCTCGACAAGTGTCATCATCGTGTAGATTGACATAAGAAGATATACAAATCTTTAGAGCAACGAAAGAGTCAAAGAGAGAGAGAGAGACAGAAAATTTTCACCGGAAGAATTTGCCAGACAATTCGTTAATTTTCTCTAAGACGCTCTTTTCTCGTCGTTTTTTATCTGCACTTCTTCTTTTTTCTATCTTCTTTGTGCCTTGTTGTTAATAATGATTTGTAATAAGTTGCCATATTTGTCAAAATTTGCTCATTTTATTTCTTCTATTTCTTGTCCTTATTTTTTGCCTTCCGGAGAAAATTACTATGAATATAGTTACTTTGCTACCGGCAAGTTCAAGAAGATAATTATCACCCAACCATTCACTACAATAGAGCTAATCTTTTTTTTTTGATAGATCAAACGCATAGGAAAGACAGAGAGAATGAGTGAGAGAAAGGAAGAGAAGTGTATTTTTTCTTCTCGGTATTCTATAGAGTCCAATGTATTGGCATGGAAGTAACATGCAGAATAATCAGAAATCGAATTATGTATTCGTCAGTGTCATCTTGATCATCACGATCTTCTTCACTATCGATTCCAATACTTTCAAATATGTCAATATTTATGTTCAATTGAATAAAGAACTGGCAAAAACACAACTTAGAAATCATTATGAAATAAATGTAATCTTTTTAGCAGATCTACTTGATTGATTGAGTGTATGACTACTCGAAGAAAATAATAAAAACATGTATATTAGAAGCGATACTAATATATTTATTCTAAATAGTTCAACAATACAGACAAAAGATTTCTTTCTCTATATATTAATCAAGAAATAGAAAGAAACAATGTTCTTTCTTTAATATGATGCAAGAGCACTTCCATTCACTTTATCATATCAATTAAGAAATGTTTGCGTCAATTAAAATCAATATCGTATCAATTATCTATAATATAAATGAATGTAAAACACTATAAATAGTGTATCTTTGAGCATTGTATACTATTATAGAATATTTTGATCATGTCAACTTTAATCTCATCTCCAAATGTTAATTCAAAAATTAAAACTCGACCATCCACACCTATTAGACGTCGTTGTTTAGCATCACTTCAATGCAATGTAAAAAATAATATTAATATTCAACAAGCATTACTTGATCTTATTGATCGTCTAAAAAATTCAAATGATTCATCAACACAATTACTTATACGTTTATATTATCATAAATCTCTTCGTCTTAATGATCAACCAGAGAAATTATATTTATTTCAACAAGCAATTTATTCTGGACTACGTCGACTACATCCATCTATTATAAATTCTTCTTCAATGAAGCAAGAAAATGAATTGTCTATTGTTCCACAACCTGTTATAACAAGTCGATCTGCACAAGCTACTATACGAAAACTTCATTAATCAATGTTTTTTTTTAATTTTATTTTCTAATAAGCAGTTGTTTTGTTTTTGTAATAAAAGAAAGAAAAATCTCTTAATATATATTTTTTGTCTAAAGAAAATGTTTTGCGCATGTGATTGCATCGATCAAAAGATTTTTTTCTTTTCTTATTCAATCATAAGAATTTTACAATTAAAGAAAACTTGAAATACACATTCTTCACTTTTTTTGAAAAAACATAAATTGAAAGAGAAAGGAAGAAAAATCATCATTGAGATCGTTATATTTCTTTTTCATGTGTTTTTTTTCAATCTTTAGCAAACAAAAACTAACGATAATAGGTATTACTATGGATGCATTACAGGCAAACTTTTTGTTGTCGTTCGAATAAGTTTGAAAAATCGAAATATGAATAGAAGAAAAAAAACTTCTTAACATGTTTCCATCTGAGGTAAGAGAAGAAAAATACAGAAGACGATTATTATTATTATTTAAAAATCATTTTTTTTTCTTTAAATAATTAGGGTTTAAATGATATTACTGAAGATCCAACATCTGAATTAGGTGATGATGCTGATTTCGAAGATGATGATATTGAAGAATCACAAGTAGAATTAGCTGAAAACGAAACTGATCAAAAAGATGTAGTTGATCCAACGAGTACAAGTCAATCGGTTCGATCACCAATAACAAAATCATTAAGTTCATCAGCACATAGTGATGGTAAACGTGGTCGTTTAAGAAATCTACATGAACACTTATATACTTATGGTAGTGTATCAGTTAAACGTGATCCAGCTATTGAATCAATTATTGAATCAAGACAATTTTCTATTATTGAAAATTCTTATACACGTTTAGCACAAGTTACATCACAACCACCTAGACTTTCAAAACGTTCAACTCAATTTGAACTTCCTATTATAACAGAATCAGATACTGAAATGAAAGTTAGAAATTTGAGTTCTCGAAATAAAAAAAAAATATCAGCAGTATCAACAGCTGAATTAGATAATCAAGAATGGGACGATGGATTAATTGGAGAACATGAAAAAGGTAAATATAGAATCTATTGCAAATGACAAACAAAATGTAATTATATACATATATATCTTAGTGGTGAACGGGATCAATGATTTGTTGTCCTGATTTCACGTTTAGTAATAAATACAGGGTGTTTCATAAGTCTTGGGACGTGAGAAAATTGGTTTATATGGACACACAGAACAATGTCTAACCATTATGTTTCTATATCAGCTTGAAGTATTCGTGACAGCCTTTCAAATGATATATTATTGAATAGCATCTTCCCTTATAATAATAAAAATATAAACATGATAATGTAATGATGAATTTTTCGAAATCGACCAACATGATGCAAGATGTATTTCGCACATATCTCAGTGTAGGTAAATGATAAAATCTTGAATTTTTTTTGAAAAAGATGTGCCATAAAAAGTTCTAAAAAAAAGTCTGAATAAATACTTATTGACTTATTCTGATGGTTTACTTCATACTCAAAATGAACAACTTACATAATAGTCCTACTTCCTATCGTATTGAGTATAATAAAAAATATTTCGAAGACTTTTTATTTTAGATCTACCTCCGGTTAGGAAAAAGAC